CCCTCCCTCCCTCCCTCCTTCTTTCCCCTCTCTCGCCTGTGTTTTTAATTCTTTTGAATGTAATGTGTGGGGTTTTTGGATCCAACAACCTGTAGCGATCCTACAGCCCGTTGAGGACTTGCCACACTGTCCCCTGTGACCGTCTGTCCCATCACACCGGCCACACACAGGTGGCTTGGCTACCATTTCCTGAGTGTTTTAAAATGTTTTTCTTTAATAATTAATTTATTTTTATTTCACGTGCATTCCTGTTGTGCCCACATGCATGTCTATGCGAAGGTGTCGGATCTTCTGAAGCTGGAGTTACAGGCAGTTACGAGCTGCCATGTGGGTGCTGGGAATCGGGAACGGTGCAGGGGTGGGGGCTTTAGAAGAGCAGCTGGTGCTTGAAACTGCTGAGCCATCTCTCCAGCCCTATCCTGTATATTTATAGCATTTTTATTTTCTTTCTTGTTTGAATCATCTTTCTATTAGGTTGTATTTCTTGTTTGCCATTTCTTCTTTTTCTTTATTACAAATTATTATAAAATTATAAAAATGAAAAAGTTATCTTTTTTGCTGTTATAATCTCCCACTCTGTTGTTGGTCTTTTAAATTTATTTTATTAAAATTATTCGTGTTATTTATGTTGTTTGAAATGGGGTCTCACGCTATGTGGTCTAGGCTGCCTGGACTTTTCTATATAGAGCAGGTTGACCTTGAATTTATAGCTGTTTTGTCTCTGTTCCCCAGGTGTGTGTCACCATGCTGGTGTGTCACTTAATAGACTTTTCTAAGGGAGTCATATTTGTAATGGTTGTTGGTCCTGTGCCTGGCATTGGCCTGTTTTCCTTAGAAGGATGTTTCTTATCTTTGACCAGGAATATGACCTCCTCTGTCCTGCTGTTATCCTATTGTTTTTGTGTAGATAACCAGGAGCCTCAGAACGCTATTACCAAGCCTGAACTCACAGATATTCTCCTGCCTCTAATTCCCGAGTGCTGGCACTAAAGGTTCAAGCTATCACACTCAGCTTACCATTATTTTAAAATGCCTTCTTTAGTATATGCTGAAAATTTTAATTCTTTTTTCCTGGTTCACCCATCTGTCTGGTTTTTTGTTTTGTTTTGTTTTGTTTTTTTTCGAGACAGGGTTTCTCTGTATTGTTTTGGAGGCTGTCCTGGAACTCATTCAATAGACCAGGCTGGCCTCGAACTCGCAGAGATCCTCCTGCCTCTGCCTCCCAAGTGCTGGGATTAAAGGTGTGTGCCACCACCGCCCAGCGTGCTGTCTGTTAATTCCTGTACAGCAATCCCCTTCAGTAGGGGCAAGTAGGACGTTTTTGGACAAAGAAGACCTGACCCTCAGGAAGCTCTTCTGTCAGTTGTTGGGGAAGTCCTGTTATTTGCCTGTTATTTGTCAATAAAGCACTGTTGAGCCAATAGAAATTTAGATAGGTGGGACTAGGAGTCCAGGAGGACTCTGGGAAGGAGAAACACAAGAGAGTCAAGATGTAATGCCATGGAGGTAGGAAGCCCGGAACTATTCTCCGGTAAGAGAAATACTTAGATTAACAATTATGGGGTAATTACTTAAGTCAGAGCTAGCCAGTAAGAAACAAGCAAGGCCAACAGCTGCATAATTAATATAGCCTCCTGTGTGTTTATTTGGGACTGATGCGGATCTAGAACCAGGCGGGCGGGAAAGTTTCTCTCAAAGAAAAAGGCTTCTTTTTACAGAATGGTTGTCAGAAGCGGGATTGAATTTCCACGCAAAACAACAAAAGCTTTAAAGGAATTTTAGAAATAGAAGAACAGAGAGAAGCACAGATTTTTGATAGCAGCATTTTCTCAGGCGAGCTCTGTTTTGCTAACGGCAAGCAGAGACTCGTGGTTTGATTAAGGCAGTCATCCTGACTCGGCATTAAAAAAAAAAAACAGCAAGATTGTTTTAACAAGCTTTGCTAATGATTCAAAAGTTGTACGTACAGCTAGAAGTGGCAGCTTTCGACTGAGGCGGTAAGCTGGAGTCACGCTTATGCCCACCATCTTGACGGAAAAAAAAAACGGCAGTTTAAAACAGCCGCGGTTTTACAGATAAGACACGTAGCCAGAAAAACGTAAAGATTTACAGTAAAGTCAGACTTGGATGAAGAAAAACCTCTAAAGGTTTACAGTGTGTTTAAAAATATACGTAAGATTGAGAGAGAAAATAGAGAAGCCGGCTGTGGTGGCGCACACCGGTAGGAATTGCTTCAGAGGCAGAGGCAGGCGGATTTCCAAAGAGAAACCCTGTCTCAGAGAAAAAGAAATAAAAGTGAAATAAATAAAGTAATAATAGATAAATAAATAAGCCACGCAAAGATGGAAAATACACAGAGAGTCTGGATACTGTATGCTATTGTGTTTTTCAGTTTTTTGATTACTCAGGAAGGAACAGCTACTAAAGTACACTTGATTATAAATGCTGCTGAATTAATTCAACTTATATCTTTTAAAAATGCCTTGACTTCAAAATTTAAGTATAATGATATGTTACTTGGGAAAGGAGATTTTATTTATGTTTCTACAGAAAATGAAAAGCTGAGGATTCCTTCCAGGCTTCTGTGGTTTGACGAACCAAGACCCCCGGAAGCAGTGGACCAGGTGTTCCAACAACTGAAACAGCTAAAATGATGCCGCTTTACAGACCCTGAAAATAAGGACTTATACAGGTTTCTGAGTTTTGTCATGATCCCCATGGTATGAACAGCGCCCCCTTCCAGCAGGAAGCAGTTTGGAATGAGCGACGTCCTAATTCCCATCTTGTTTATAAATCTTTGTTTTCATTTAAATGAGATTGTTTATAATTAGTTAATGATCACAACCAATCTCCTTTTAATGGTAAAAAGGGGAATTATGGTATGGGTATAGTTTTTCATTTATTGATACAAATTCAAGGTCAATTTTGTGATGTGTATATTTCTCCTCTTGATTAAATATTGTGCTTATACTGATCTTTTAAAACGTAATGCATAATTGAATACAGACTACAGATAGTTATTGATAATAGAACTTATAGTTAGGTAAGTTAGGTTTTCTAGATATATAGAGATAATATTTGAGACAGATAGTCTTCAAACCTCTCAAAGACCTTCAGAAAATGGCATTTAAAATGGGTTAGGGTTTTTCTTGACAATGAGAAATGTCTGTTCCTGGTAGCACCAATTACGTCTGAGAGGAAGATGGGCATCGAAGAAACTTATTATGGAGTTTGCTTTCAACATGGCAAGATTAGCCATTTGGGCAAGAAACTGCTTTTGCCTGTACTGCTTGACTGTTGTTGTATAATCTGGACATGCAGGACCCACAGAAAAGTGACTGCTGAACTCAGTCTTACAGGGTTCCTGCTTCATGGAAGAGTCTACCAGACTTTCTGCAGGACACAGAAAAATGACTGACAGACTGCCAACGCAGATGGACAGTTTGAAATTTCCTGCTTTGCTGAGAAGTCTTCCAGACACATTGTGGCCTATGGGCTGAAGATGGATGCCCCAACGTTGCAGAGGAACTTTGGGTGACTGTCCAGGAAGCAAGATGTCTCTGTCAATCCTAGTGTTTATATATTATCCTTCTGTGGTCTTTGATGGAGTTGAAGACGGATAGTTATAATTATAGTTTTCCTTAGTTATGATAAAAGATAGGCTACATATAGGACTTTGGACTCACAAGAATGAGATAGATGATATTTTCTTTAAATCTTGCTAAATGTTGATAGACAAAATGTTGTAACTGTATTCTTACTTGATAACTGTTCTGTTATATATAATTTGACTATGCTAAATTTAAGACCTTTCTTTTTGTTTAAACAGAAAAGAGATGTTGGGGAAGTCCTGTTATTTGCCTGTTATTTGTCAATAAAGCACTGTTGAGCCAATAGGAATTTAGATAGGTGGGACTAGGAGTCCAGGAGGACTCTGGGAAGGAGAAACACAAGAAGTCGACATGTAACTGCCATGGGGTAGGAGCCCGGAACGATTCTCCGGTAAGAGAAATACTTAGGTAAACAATTATGGGGTAATTACTTAAGTCAGAGCTAGCCAGTAAGAAACAAGCAAGGCCAACAGCTTCATAATTAATACAGTGTCTTGTGTGTTATTTGGGGACTACAATGCGGCAGAGCCCAGGCGACTGGCGGGGGATAAACCAAAGCGGCTAGCAAAGAAAAAGCTTCTCTTAACAGTCAGTGACTGTAAACTGTGTTCTCAACACTTCTTCCCTCCTTCAGGTTCAGTCTTGGTGCCCTGCCATTCCCATCCACCCAAGGCAGACATCACGGGCAGGCTTAAAGAAGGAATCACATCTGAATCCTAATTCAGGGACTGGGGTGTTTTGGAAATTGGCTCACCACCCAGAACCCTTTCCCCTAGTAGACCTTATCTAGGTGTTTAGGTGTCGGTATCAAATCATCCTTATCACACTGTTGCTGAATCGATCCATTGCTTGGGCTGATAGTAGGTACACTTGCACACCTCAGGACACTGCGTTGTTCTAGGATTAGTCTCTGCTCTGCAATCGCAAACCAGAAAAGGACCCAGAACTAGAGTGTACACCCTGACTGCATTAAAGGGAAAAACTCCTTGTTCTTGGCAATGTGCTACCTTTATGGATTCACCTGAGGGTCCCATATGTTTTGGAGGTAGCCAATTTAGCTCCACCATTTCAGTCGCAAGCACTAACGGGTGTCCCCAACTGTCTCAAATGTACGTGTGTATGCTAGGATGTGTCCTATCAGCTAAGCATGCTGTAAGTAAGTTTCTACACATCAAGCTAATGGAGCAGCACTTAGCGACATGAGTATACCACAGGCTGTGCAGGGCCCTTTGTGCATGCTGGGGCATCTCCCTGGAATTTTTAGCAAATATTATCATGTATTTACTCAGCACAAAAGGTTTCTTTAACTTGAAAATATTTTACAATAAGGAATAATTGCAATTTGATTCTTGGATGCCATGACGTTGTATGGAGCAGTGAGTAAGAGGAGACATTTCAGAGTTTATTTTGTGAGCAAGTGTTGATCTTTCTAATCATGCGAGCTGCTCTTCATCTTCATAAACTTGCCATAGTCACTGCAGCAAAAAAAATTCAATAAAAAATCCTAATCTTTTTTTACAGCTGTATATCACTTCTTACATGCTCCTATCGAATGAAGTCTAAGGCTATGTGCTAAATTTCTTCTTGCCTCCATGTCGAACCACTTAAATTCCATTTTATTGATTATCTGGAGATCTGAAATAAAGTAAATGATAAGATTAACTTTTGCATTGTGCTAGGAAGTTAGAATCGATTTGCTTTGAAAGAGAATGTTTGCTTCCTGTGTTTAAAAATATACCTTGAAGATGAAAATAAAGTCTGTGATATTTCAAAGCGACTCTGGAGTGTTTAGGAACAGGTGCACCATTGTCAGCTTAGCTACCACCAGGTGAAGTGAGATTTGTTGTGAGGAACAAGCCTGTGTTTAGGGGATGGCCAGGTGCTCGGCAGCTGAGAACACTGGCTGCTCTTGTAGAGGACCTGGGTTTGGTTCCCAGCACCCACACGGTGGCTCACAACTTCATGTTACTCCAGTTCCAGGGGATCTGATGCCTTTTTCTGCCTCCTAGGGCATCAGACATACACGTGATGCATACACATACATGCAGACAAAAACTCACACCCATAAACTAAAACAGAAAGTATAAGAAAGGTTATGGTTAGAGACTGATGGCTGAGAGGCCAACAGGGGACTGATCCAGACTCCGTGAATGTAGTGTCAGTGAGGAGGCCACAGAAATCACTGGGGCCTTGGGTAGTAGATCAGTGTTCACCATGGTTTATGAATGAGCTTTGGGAGCCCATTCCAAAAAAGAGGGATGCTCTCTCAGCCTGGACACATGGGGAAGGGCCTAGGTCCTGCCCAGGATGAAATGACAGACTTTAGAGATTCCCCCCCCAAGGAGGGCCTCACCCTCCCTGGGGAATGATGTGGGGATTGGGTGGGGGACTGGGGGACTGGTGGAGGGACAAGGGAGGAGGGGTGGGAGAGGGAGCTGGGACTGACATGGGAAACACTCACGTTTCTAATTTAAATTAAAACATATATTGAGGAAAAAAAGAAAGGTTATGTTTAGTATCCTACACAAAATTGGCACTTAGTAGAAAGTTTTTGAGCAGTACCTTGTGATTTCTTCCTGTGTATCTGGGTAATGATATATGTCATCTTCTGTGGCTCTCCTAGTCAATCCTAAAGGAAAAAGAAAACAAAATCAAAGCTGTTCCTGGTGTTCATCCCATTGAACAAGAGTAAAAACCACCTACCCAAGTAATTTTGTCGAATTAAGCAACCTTTATTTTCTGTCAGACAGGGTTATCTCCCTAAAGCAGGGCTTGAGAGAATTAGCCCTGTGTACAGGAGAGTTGGGGTTTTTATAGTAATAAAACTACAAGGCTAGAGGGTTTCTAAGGGTTTTTGATTATGTAGGAAGTTGGCAGAACATCTCAAAATTATTTGGTAGAACATCTTATCATCAGGGTGTTGGGGGAAGTCCTGTGCATTTGTCAATAAAGTACTGTTGAGCCTATAGGGAACCAAGATATGAGGGACTAGGAGTCCAGAAGAACTCTGGGAAGGAGAAACACAGGGAGTTTGAGATGTAACGCCATGGGGTAGGAGCCCGGAACTATTCTCTGGTAAGAGACATACTTAGATTAACAATTATGGGGTAATTACTTAAGTCAGAGCTCGCCAGTAAGAAACAAGCAAGGCCAACAGCTTCATAATTAATATAGCCTCCTGTGTGTTTATTTGGGACTGATGCGGCTCTAGAACCAGGCTGGCGGGAAGGCTTCACTCAAAGAAAAAGCTTCTCTTTACATCAGGGTGGAAGTCAGATTCCAGAAGATGGGGCTAGACCTGGTCAAACCCAAGTTTTACAGAAAACAGGAAGGAACTCATTTTGGCCTGGAAATAAGATGGCTTCTTATCTCAAGAAGGAATCAGACTGGTCCATCACTGAAAATGTCTTTTCAGGGACTATGCTCTTTAGCACTTATGTAATAGGGCTGCTTGGATCACGAGGGGCGGCTGCATGACCCAAAGACAGCACAGTCTTTCCTCTCGTCCCACATTCCCCCAGCATGACCTTTTCCACCCCCACAAGAAACACACCCTCTTTTCTCTTCTCTCGAACTGTCCTTCAGGCTTCAAAAATCAAGTCACATTAGAAGCGACCACCTGCATGACTTCCTAGGCTAGCCCAGAAGCGACCATATGCATGACTTCCAAGGCTAGCCCAGAGATGACTGTGCACATGACTTCCAAGACTGGCTCCAAGGCTCCAGTGTGTGAGCAAGCCTGTCTCTGAGCCTTCAGATTACCCTGTTTCCTGGGATCCCCTTTGCCTCTTTTGTTTTGAGAGTCCAGAAGCCCCTTTTGTCCCCTTTTCTTGCTGCTGGCTCTGGTGATCGGTACTTATCTACATGAGCTACCATTCCTTTAGGTCATTTGTCCTTTCTCTTTTCCTCCTTAACACCCTTGTCAGATTACACAACCAACCACTCATGCTCCGTGTTCTCTAGCTGTAAGTGGGATGGCTTATTCTCAATGTGTTTGTAAATTACTCCACTTGGGGTGGGAATTCCTCAAGGCCCTGATCTCTTAGCTCTCATCCTTTACTCCTTACTCAGCCATCAATGTCCTTGGTCATATGCAGAATTGACCACTATCGGCCAATGCAAGCCCTGTCCAATCTCAATTTCCTGCATCAACAGCCATGCCTACATCTCTTCCTTTCTTGTGCACACAAAACATGGTTCCTGCAATCCCTTCTGCTTTTCACTTAGCAGGCTATTTTTGTACATGATCCAACACGGGCTTCGCAGCAACTTTCGGGCTTACTTTGACTGACAGTTTAAGAAAGGATACATCTTGCCACAGTATGTATGACTGTCGTCAGGAAGCAGAGTAGGCAGGAAGTGAGGCTGGTCTATAAAACCTTAAGGCCTGCCCTTAGCGACTCATTTCCTCCAGCAAAGCTCCTCCTAAAGACTCTATAATCTTCTTAGACAGCACAACTATGCCCTGGGAGCACGTGTGCAAACTTCACACTCAGATCACAATGCTTTGATTTCTAGTAGACCTTTTCTATCTTTCTATTTAACAGAGTTATATGTACCGCACACAGGTCTAGTGTTAGACATTGTGCATTTACTTCTCTCTGCATTTCTCCCATTCATTCATGTATATATGTATTGTATGTATGTATGTATGTATGTATGTATGTATGTATGCATGTATTTAAATGATGTAGCCTTGGCTGTCCTAGAACTTGCCTTGAGTTCATAGCAATCCACTTGTCTCTGCCTCCCAAGTGCTGGGATTGAAGATGTGCCTCCAACATACCCGGCCTACCTTTTCCTAGTCTGGAATGTGAAGTAGTTACTCTATCATTCAGACACTATCTTGCAAGGACTGACAAGACTTTGTTGTAATAGTTCTCAGCTGCATGAGGCGTGACTTTGTCCCCCATAGGACATTTTGAAATTTCAAGATGTTTTCCTTGTTATAAGTGATAGGAGGAAGTGCTACTCAAATTTGGCATGATAAGGACTTGAAGTGACACATATGACAAGCCTAACTCTTTCCCTAGAGACAATCCTTTCAATAGTATAAAGTTGAAAAACCCTGCCCTTGAAGGGGGGGCACATATAGCAAAAAGATGGAAAATCACCACCTCCAAGTGCTTTGTCATGTGTAAGAAATGCTTATATAGAATGCTTACTGTGGGACTGAGGGAGAAATGAATGTCCTATTCTTAAGATACCGACTGTACTTCCAGCATAGCCTTTCTCATAACATGCCCTGCTATGCTCTTTGAGAAATGGTCTCATTGTGTACCCCTAGCTGTCCTTGAACTCTCGTATGTATTCTAAGATGGCTTTGTCTTTGAACACAGATCTGCCTGTCTCTGTTTCCTAAGGGCTGGGATGCCTTCTTTTAGGTAAGAGCCCCCGATGGCTTCTCAGTTGAATGTTTCCATTGACTATATGGAAACATCCTAGTACCCTTAACAGGGTTTCAAGCACAGTGAGCTTCACAGGACTGGGGACTCTTGGCCCCACCACTGCCAAAGCGCCCATTTTTCAGTCCTAACCTAGGTCTATTCTCAAACTTGCTTTGTGGCCAAGGATGACCTTAAATTTCTGCTTTCCTGCCTTGAGCTCCCAAGTGCTGAGATTATAGGCATGCACCACCACAAGGATGGGTTCATGTGCTGACTGAACACGGGGCTTTGTGCACCACCACAAGGATGGGTTCATGTGCTGACTGAACACGGGGCTTTGTGCACCACCACAAGGATGGGTTCATGTGCTGACTGAACACGGGGCTTTGTGCACTCTAGGCAAGCTTGAGCTGCATCTCCTGCTCATTTGTTCTCTCTAGCTTCTTGGCATTCCTAGTGAAGCGGCGAGAGAGACTGAAGAAGCCTTGCTTGGAGCCGTCAAGTTTGGTTTCAGTCTTGTGGCATCCACTTCCCAGACGCTGAAGGAAGATGATGTTTACACTGGGATATTGTCCGTGAGATTTCCCCAGAAGAACAGCTACATGTGCTGCTAATATTCTACTCCTTTGGCTACAGCTATTGGGTGGAACATGAAGACGCTCCACCTCCAGGCTCGCTGTCAGCTAGGAAGTCTTGGCAATGGCTAATTCACACACGGGAACACCTCCCCTTCCCCTTCCAGGGTCCCGAGCCTCTGCTCACTTGAAGCGAGGGGATCTCCTCAGAGCTGGTGACTCCTTCATTGCTGCGGCACAAGTTTTTGGTCCTAGTCTAGGTTTTGGACTAGGGGTCTGACAAGGCGTGATTTGGAATGTTCGGCCTGTGGGGCTTTGTGAGGAGCCGCCCTCGCTATCGCTATCGCCATTAGAAGATGGCGCTGACATCCGCTGTCAGTTGGAGTCCACCGTTTAAGCTGTGCCTCTCCCGTGGCGTCATCTGGGGTGATGAGCAAACCACCAATCCCGGCTCTACACATCTCACTCGGAGCTCCTAGGTTTATATAAGGGGCTGGGTTTCTTAGCTTGGGGTTTCCCTCTCAGAAGCTGATCATCTATCTCTCAAGATGCATTAAAGCTTTACTGCAGAAGGATCCGAGTGTCCTGTGTCGTTCTTGCTGGCGAGACTGTGGCGCGGGACAGGGCTTCAGAGCTGGAAGACTGAAGCAATAGTCTACATGAGCCCGTGGAAAGCACACTGCGACATTTGTTCGTATTCTCTTCCTCGTCTGCAGAAATGAGCGTTTCTCTTTTGCTAACAGTGAAGACATCCTAAATGGTGGATTCTCTCAAGTGGGCAGTGGGGAGATGTGGTTTATTATACCTGGTCTATCCTGTGACAGAACAAACCAGGCAGTGTCGAATCACAGTCTAATCCCTTTGTTTGAAGGCAGCAGTATTATCTTCATAAAATACAGTGGTGGGTATAAATGAGATCTTGAAGATCTGATCTGTAGATAAGTTTGGATTCAAATGGAACAGATGCTCTCTGGCAAGTTTGGTGACTAGATAGGTGAATGAATTTTAAAAATTTTGTCATGCAAAACATTTTTAGTGGCCATATCTTAGAAAAGGGTAAATCATAACTCATATGTAAAGGTTGTGCCAGGGTTTATAGACTAGACCCCTGGTAATGGATTCAACCTTTCAACAACAAATCAAAAGTATCGTTGCATTCTCACATGAATATACAGTAGTCATTACCTTAAATTTAAAATGCACTATAAGAGGCAAACCAGAGAGCAGGGCGTGAAGGCTATACTGCATCAGTGTGCTCTGCAGAGAATTTCTTCATGTGGCTTTTTCCTGGCTGAAATATACGCTGCAGTTCAAAGCTAAAGGGATTATTTTTGAATAGTCATTGCAAAGGTTGATTACATTCGTCTATCATATTTAGCTGGACCCTGCAGGCTATTATTCCATTAGCTGTGCTGGCCCTGCCATTGTCAAAAAGTTGATCACCTAATGTTAAAAGACCATGCTTTCTGTTGACCTTATCAAAATGCTTCAAAAGGTTTTTGTTAAAAAAATAAAACTTAGATTATGCATTACAAAGTTGAGATTAAGGACAGATACCATGTTATCTGGGAAGTTTTAGAATTCTGTCATTGGCTGAAGATGAAATGTTTTTTTTTTGCTTTTGTTTTTCCATACATTTGATTTGAAGCCACATGTTTAATTTCAGG